GTGGTTCCCAAATTTTGCTGCTATTAGAATTACTGGGGAAGCTTTTAATAATCCCCAAACCCAGGTCACACCCAATACCAATTAAAACAGAATGTCTTAAGGTAGCATATAAAAATGCCCAGGTGATACCAGCATTCAGCAGAGTTTGGAAACCACTGCTATACTCTCCAGGAGCCCAGGATTTTATAAAGACTAATAGTTATGTCAGAGAATTGTTTTTGAACTGTCCTGGATACCATGTGAGAATGAAACTTGCTAATCCTGGAGTTAAAGTGTTAAGCATTGAGAAAGTGAGATGCTTATTACTCTTGTCATCTCCCATCTCCACCTGAACCTTTCTGCAACTCATTTCTTCATTAATGAAATGGAAATAATAGCTACTTCACAGGTTTGTAGTAAGGACTGACCGAAAATTTGGAAAATAGACAATATTGTTTCTGGCATACATCAGGACTTCAATAAATGTTTTGAAAAGTTCATGCATGTTTAATGAGGACACATTCAGGACCTGCCGTACCCAACTTTCCCCCTGAAGATACCTTCTCTTCCTTCCCACTGACGTCCAAGCACACTCCCCTACAGGCCCCTCCCTTTCTGCTTTTTCCACTTTGGCCCTCCCCACATTCAGCTGGCTCCCTACCAGATATTGCCAGGGAACAGTGAGATACAAAGGACTTTCTCAGATCCATGATCACAAGGATATGTTACCTGTAAGAGCTATAGCAAAAAAGAAAGGTGAGAGGAGCTAGCACAGAGAAAATGAGGATCAACAGGATGAGAGATTGGGAAGGAATTGGGAAGAACACAGTAGTAGACAGTACTAAAGATGCGGAATTGGGTGGAATTAGGGTAGATCATTACAGGAAAGGAAGTCATTCAGCACTAGGAATAAAACAATCAGGTATGAGTACATTCAAGCATCTTATGTGTGTTCACCTCTGTGTGAAGCACTCTGCTGGATTCAGGAGACATAGGAGAAGAGAAACCTGCTATCAAGGAGCTTGTGGAAGCTAAACAAACACAAGGCAAAGGAATAGTTAGAGAACAGTTCAGTGCCAAACTCTGAGAGCTGAAATGGTCTGACAGGGCTTTCTCGGGGAGCTGTACCTCCACCTGGATCTTGCAGGGGCAGCATGATTTTAATTAGCAGAGAGAAGGAAATAAAATATTCCAAGGATCGGGGAGCAAAGTCAGGGGATGGGGCTGGAGGAATCTGATTACCCTCTGCTACTTTCTGTCTCCTCTTACTCCATAGGAGTTAGAGCAAAAGATGTGAAGGACATCTTACCCGTGATGATACTAATGGTGATAATTTTCCTGCTGCTTCTGTTCTGGGAAAATGAGCTGGACGACGAAGGAGTGGTGTCAACCTTAGAGCACTTGCATGTGGACTACCCTCAGAGTGACATTCCTGTAAGGTACTGTAACTCCATGATCTTACAAAGAAGCATCAAGGGACCTGACAACGCCTGCAGAAAGGAGCACGTCTTCATCCATGAGAGGCCTCGAAATATCAATAGGATTTGCTCTTCTCCCAATAAGATGGCTTGCCAAAACAATTCCACCATTTTATGCTTCCAGAGCAAGACAAAGTTTAAAATGACGGTCTGTAAGCTCATTGAAGGCACCAGATATCCTGCCTGCAGGTACCGCGTTTCCCCCACAGAGGGGTTTATTCTTGTCACTTGTGATGACATGGGGCCAGTTAATCTCCAGAGATATGTTGAATAACTTGAGACCAGTGCTTGAGTCTGGGATCCTCTCTTCTGCTCTTGCAAGGGCACTGGTGCTGGTTCTTCCTGATGCACACCTGAATAGTGGACGTGGGGTAATGCCTTGAGTAAAATGGACAGTCACTGGTAATTCATTCAACCTTCCAGTATTACTGAGCTGGAATCTTTTTATTCTACTTCAATAAAAAAAAAACTCTACTGAATTAAACCATAAACTCTGCATGTGTCTTAATTCCTTGTCCCTTTACTTTGGGTCATTTGATGAGAGCCAAGAGTGAATCCTACACATGACTGGGATTAGGGTAAAGTGAGTGAAATAGTCACTTTATGTGCAAAATTTAAGGGGAACCAACACCCTCCCCACCGTAATCTAGATAAATAATATTTAAAAAAACCAAAATTAGGGGCCGGCCCTGTGGCCAAGTGGTTAATGTTCCATACTCCACTCCAGCAGCAAGGGTTTGTGGGGTGTGGACTACCTCATCAGCCCTGCTGTGGAGGCATCCCACATACAAAATAGAGGAAGATTGGCGTGGATGTTAGTTCAGGGCAAATCTTCCTCACTAAAAAAAAAAAAAAAAATTCAAAATCAATGCAAAAGTCCCTGATGAACAAAATATCTGAATTTTAAATCAAGACCCAATTTGACTGAGTTGGATTTAGGGTGAGGCAAGGTACATGAGTTGTGCCATCACACGGTCAGATCCCATTATTTAAAATTTAAAATTACAGATGTGCGTCATCTGTAAAGTGAGGTGCTTGAACTAGATAATCTTTAAGGTTCTTTCCAGGTCTATTACTCCACAATTCTATTTCTTAGATAGTGTAAGAAACTACCTCGTTTCTTAGTATCGTAAGATACTAGCCTCGTCGGAGGGGAGGGTTAGTACAGGGGAGCAGTAAGAAATAAGGGGTAACTGGGAACTAAATGCCAGATTATGGGGTCACTAATTCTGAGCTATGACACTTCAGTCCTGTAACTGAGAGCTGGAACCTCATACAGTGAGCTAGAGTGGGCAGAGGCAATGCACACACTTTAGAGGGCCCTTTCTTTTCTGGTCTTTCCAGCTGAGAGACTTCAGCTATTGCATTATTTATTTGTACTTAATTCAAGTTCAAATCAGAAAAGAGGCACACCTATGCTAGCTGTTAACTCTGGTTTTTGTAAACATCAAGTTCTAACTGATTGATTAAATTTGTGGAGAGAAGAGGGTGACAATCGTGAGCAAAGGACACTTTGCAACCTTTTAATTGGGCAAGGGTTACCCATCTGGGGTGGCCCTTTTGCAGCTGAGTTTCATTACCCATTTCTCTGTGGGAATCCCATTGTCACTGTTGTCTTCATGGAAGTTAGGATGTCACCAAGGGAGCAGAGCCCTCAGCCATCTGAATAGATGCTGATTAGGAACAGGTGGTCCCTAGCATATGACTTATTGGGTCCCGGTAGCGGAATCACTTTTGGGTGAAAGTTTGAAGAAACTGAAATGTGTCCTTTAAGGGCCCTGATTCTATGTTCTGAATTCTGATTCCTTTTCCTATCACTTCCCTCGGCTTTATTGTCCTTTCTTTCTTTCCCAGTGCTTTGTCTTCCCTTCCTCCCCTAACCTCCCTCCTTCTCATTAAAAACAAAATCTTGCAGATAAATGTACTGCCATTAAAGTGTAAGTAACTGAGATTGTCCAATGGAATCTAACCTGAGAGTATTTTCATTCAACAGTGATCAAAGCTTAATTCACATGAATTGTGACATTTTAGACATTTCTAGTTTGGAGGGGGTATTTTTTTTTTTTAATGGGCACCAAGCAGCTCAAATCAAACCCAGGTAGCTGTGAATTCTGCCCTCTTGAAATACATGTTTCAGAAGAACTGGGAATCTCTGCACTGCTCTTCTTGTTTATTTTTCTCCTTATTGTCTGTTTTCTTATTGTCAGTTCACTATTGATGTTGATGGTAGACAATGTTTAGGAAACAATCAAAATCCTCCTTTTCTCCTCCCTTTAATCTGCACCAAGTCTGTGCTCAAAGCATACACATGAGCACATCCACTTAATCCTTAATAATCTATCAATAATCAATCAACCCAATTATTAAGGCTCAAATATTCTTGGTATTGGGTCTTTGCTCTAATTTCACATATAGGACATTTTAAAATCAGATGTAATAAAAAGTACAAGTCCATCCGTACTAATGTCAAATAAGTGGTATAAGAAGTGCATGATAAGAAGTTCAGAGAAGTGAGAAATGGGTTTGGTCGACTTAAGTAGTGAGAAAATGTGTCAAAGAAAGAATGGGATCTGAACGGGGCTTTGAAGGATTTCACAAGGTAGAAAGGAGTAGGCATTCAAGAGAGGAGCAAAAATGGAGAGATGGAATAGGGTGTATTCAGAGAAGAGTGGGTCGCACTGATTTGACTAGAGCAGGTTTGTGTACCAAAATAATGGGAGATAAACCTTTAGAGGCAGGTTGGGATTAGATCAAGTAGAGCCTTGACTAACTGGCCTCAGGAGATTAGATTACCTCATGTAGGCAATGAGGAATATTTCAAAGTTTCTGAAATAGTGTCATTGCAAGTTGTGTTTTTAGCAAAGTAGTGTACCGAAGGAATTGTAGGAGTGAGGCATGGGGATTAGGAGGTAAATGTGATAATGCAGGAGATATAAGTATAAGAGAAGGAAGTTCTCAAAGGTGGGAGAGAAAAAAATGAGGTCTTTCTAGAGCAAGACAAAGAATTATCACCCTAAATAACCATTCTTTCTGGGATTCTCAATATGAATTTTCCAGCATCGACCTTAAGTAAAGGATTTTCTATACTTGTCAAGTCATGTTATGTTCTTAAGCACTGTTGAGAAACTAGTAAATATACAGTTCAGTGTTTGATTCTGCGCAAAATAAAAAGAAGCAGAAACTAGGTTCCAGGCTTAAGGAATTTTCAGCCTTAATAAGAGGAAAAAAGACTAACCTGTATCAATTAACTTGAAAAATAAAGAAAAAGAATATATAAAATGAAGTGCAATATAATCTACACTGTAGGGTTTCAAAAGAGGAAAAAGAAATCACTGTGGGTTAAAAACAGACAGAAGATTTCACAGAAGAGGGAGCAGTGGTGCTGCCCAGGTCACTAGGATTCTGACAGTCAAATGGACACTTTGTTCAGTTCTCTGAGCAGCCTTGGCTCCACAATGTCTCCTCCTTCCATCTCGTAAAATTCTACCTACCCGTTACTTTCCCCTCCTTCCCTCAGTTAGACCCAATAACACAAACTCCCAGGAAACAAATACAATTTCACTTCTTATCCTGCAACAAGCTGGAATCTTTCTCTACAGGATCATCCTGCCAAAGAAACTGGTAAAGACAGAAATCCCACGACTGAGAATCAGTGAGAAAAGAAATGAGAAATGGGGAATAACATTGTGGTTTTTTCAAGTGGCTAGCATGTGCCAGGTACTGTATGAGGCTGTAAGAAACATAGGAACAGTTAGGAATGTGATGGGTGAGATTATTATGACCCACTACAGAGATTACAGACCCTACTGATGAGATTACAGAGAAGGGAAAAAGGAAGAGAAATAACTACTTGGCTCTGGTCACTTTAAACATGTTATATAATTTTCACATTTCCTTCTTTTTTCACAGGGGGAAACTGAGGTTAGTTAAACGAGGTGGAGTAAATTGTTTGTTAGTCAATAAGCAGGATTTTGAAGCTTGTAGGAGTCTTAATTTACATGTTGGGGCCAATCCTAGGAATTATTGTCATACAGAAAAGAGAGCTATCTTCTTCATATTCTCCTTATTTTTATCTTTTCCTTTTTATTTCATAGAAGGGATTATCCTAGATCTGAGATGGAGACTTTTTCTCTGCTGCTACTCGGCCTGGGGTTGGTCCTTGCAGGAGCTTCAGAAAGCATAATGAAGATAATTAAAGAAGAACTTTCAGAGGAAAAGATGAAATACGGCATGACAAAAAGTGACCAAGGAAAACAGACCGTTGAGCTATTAATGGACTTGACTCTGTTATATAGAAATACCAGCTTCGGCATGTCCAAGGATATTATGTCTTCCTCATTACTGACATTCAGAAGATTACATTATAGCTTCCTTAAGGGAAACAGCCCAGGTAATGACAAAGAGTATTGCAATGACATGACGGTCTGGAGAAAAGTTTCAGAAGCTAATGAGTCATGCAAGTTCAGCAACAACTTCATCCACGGCTCCATAGAAGTGATCCACAGCACCCCCAAGGCCCCCTGCTGCAAATGTGGACAGAATGCTGTCATAAGCTGCTCTGAGAATGCAGAACTGGAGACTACTATGTACCAGCTCACTAGAGGCAAACAATTCCCCAGGTGCCAATACCACAGTGTTACCTCATTAAAGAAAATATTGGCAGTGCTGACAGGTCATTCTCTGATGAGCTGGTTAGTTAGTGGCTCTAAGTTGTAAATCCCACAGGGCCTTGAGACTGGAGAAAGACATACTTATTGTCATTATTGTTTATTGCCTTCTATTATCCATGTCTACCCTTTCAGCACTATAGTAAACTCTTGATTATTTATACTAATGGAAGAAATGAAAAATCCAAAATTGTAGATAATTCAATGAAAACTTATAACTGATCCTGGAGTGCAGCTACATCCTCTCTCATGCATAAATACTCACACACATAGACTTTCTCTGAACCAAGCTGAATTCCATCCTAGCTCAGATATAAAGCCAAGAAGTAGAGTCCAACCAACTTGTCAGAATTAAGGAGGGAAGGCCCAAAACCAATATATATGACTGAAAGTTCATTGTACTGCCACTAAGACTATTCAGAGAAATAGTGAATGAGCAGGGGGGACATTGTTATCATTGCTTCTCTTCAAAGAAGTGTATGCGTTGATGAATGCGCACAAATGTGAGCACCCATCCATGCAACCAGGGGCCTGCCTGCCCTCTAGAAGATACCAGAGGAAAAAAGATTCTTTGGTTTAGTTGCTGCTCTCAGCCAACAACTCTGGCCCTATGCAGTCTCCATTCCTCCATGCTCGTTCCTATCTATTTCATAGGTTGCTACAGAAGGAAGAAATTGCGATTTTTGCTAAGAATAGTCTTGATTCCCCGAAGCTGTGAGAAGGAATGGCAAACAACAGAGTAATAGAGGAGGTAGACGCATGGGAAAAAGAAAGTCTATGCCAAGTGCCAGGCATGATTAGTCTTCAATCTTGTTGTTTTCTGATGTTGTAGGGATATTTTTTTCACCAACAATTGTTTATTTGTAAGTTCTCTATGGTTCAACACTCTACATAAAATACAGCAGTTATCTTGTTCATTAATGTGTGCCTATGTGCTCCTGTTTCCTCATCTTACATCCTCCCTTCATGCTGTGACTACTGTTTTTTAATGTCCTAATTTTAAATAAATGCATGTAAATGAATGTTACATCACTGTAACACTTTTTATACATCACTCTCTACATATCACTTTTCCTGTTTTTCACATTGGGTGCAGAATTCTCCTTATATCTAAACTGCAAAACTCTGACAATCAACCAATATGCAGCATTAGGGCAGATGTTTTTTGTATGTTTTAGCTGGATTTTCCTTGTCAGTATAATGGCTGCTTAAATAAACAATCACCATGAGCTTGGCCAAATACATATGTAATTAGCACTCAATTTGCACTTGGCAGCCAGAGGAGAAAGTGATAGAGGGAAATGCCTGGGGCCCAAAGTTCTCTTCTCTGTAGAAGGAGAACTCACGGAACCTAGGGAAGGTTCCATTCCAAGGATAGTTTCATGTGGCGAGGTGCTACCACTCACTCACCAGACATGGGATGGGTTCTGTCCATAGAAGAGCAGTCCAACGAATCTCCTCTTGATTCAAATTTGGTTCAAATTTGAGTTACTTCTATCCTACAGTAGAATTCTACTGTAGAGTTCAGCTTTGGAGGATGGGCATGTCAGCCCAGAGACAATAACTATTGAATCTCTGGGAGCATTTTTTTGGCGATCTGTAAGAAAAAGCAAATTCAGCCTAGTTCAGAATTTAGTACAGATTTCTTCCTTCACCAGGACAGAAGAACAAGGACCCAGAATAGATACCTCTTTGTAGGACAGGAGCATCCTCTAAAGAGTCTTGATTAAGACCAAACCTTTCCATTTCTCTGAAGGAATCAGGAACTCTGGATTCTGAGCCTTTGGTACCCTGATCTCTCAGGATCTATCTAGTCATCATTATATGAAGTTTGAAAGATGTTAAATGTGGAGGTGCCATAGAGAATCAGGGCTCCTGAGTGGTAGTACTTCTCACCCTTGAAACCTGTCACCCATTTGACATAATGTACATCCTAAGGTCGTGATGACAATAGGTAGAGGATTTCCAATTATAAAACATTAAGTTTTTGTAATATCTCTTTTCTCCTCCTAAACCACAGAGGGCTCCTTTTTTCTTGTAGTTTCACACCTAAATTTCTCAGGCTGTCTTTCAAGGCCACTATACTCCTTTGTCATCTTATCTAGCCTGTCTCCAGCAGCTGCCCAGGCTCTATTGTTTTGAGACTGCTCTCTTCACAGTCCACAGAACTTGTGTCCTTGTCTTCAGTCCTTTGGTAGGCTGATCTTGGTGCTCTTCTTTTTCTCTTTCTCATTGTGTCATCTCATCCCATTCAATTGCACAAGCTCCATCTGACTAGAAATAGTCCAGCAAGAGTCTCTTGTTAGAAATATAACTGAGAGGTAGGTATGTGTCATATCCCTGTAGCTGGAAGAAACCTGAGAGGGAATGAAATGAAGTGATGAAGGAGACCAATCTTATCATAAGAGCCATGGAAGGAAGAGTCAAGTTGAGAAAGGAAGTTGGGAATGGAGTGATAGAGAGGTTTGAGAAAGGGATACTGAGAGGGATTATTTAGCATAAAACAAGTACCCTTTTTGTCTCTAACCATTCCCTCTATTTCCTACCCTCCACCCCTCGATATAAAGTGCACTCAATTTCTTTAGTCAACAGCTCTGAAGTGAAACAAGTCCATGGCCTCAGGTGCCCAGGATGGTGCTGAAGTAAGGAGAGAGCCTTTGCAACATCATCAGTAAATTTTCACATGTTTTACTGACTCATCATGCCACCCCAAAAAGTCATTTTACATCACTGGGATTCAATTTCCTTACCTACACAGGATGGATTAATCCACAGGTTGGATTAGATGTGGGTTCTCAGACTTAAAAATTTTGTCCAGGTTTTAGGACATTGAACTTGCCTCCTCTGTGATTTTTGTTCTTCCCAATAGCTAGGTCCCCAAAACAGACATGAGTGTGACTCAGCTTTAATCATGCAGATGATGATAATATCCTAGGGATGGCCTTAACAGCAAAAGGGAAGGAATCTACATCCTTGAACAACTGTGTGAAGCAGAGTTATCTTGCCAACCTGGACTACGCATCTTGGGACTGATACATGAGAGAGAAATAAATATGTATATTTTTAAATCCATTATACTTTGAGATTTTGTTCCATCAGCTCAGCCTTACCCTAACAAATTTAATAACTTTAGGAGCTGTTATCAAATATAAATTCCTGGGCCCTAACCCAGGAGATTATAGATCAGGGATAGGACCATAGCATGTGGCTCTTTTACAAGAGTGTTAGGTTTGCTGATGTGCTCCAAAGTTTGAACACCACTAAATTAGATGAACTAAAAGCTTTCTTTCTAGTTACAGGATATTCTAATTTCTAGTCCCAATTAGGGAAAAAAGTTTGCTGTCCAGATATTCAGTGCTTTTTGTGGACTTGGGCAAAACAAGTCAATTTAACTCAAAGAGCATCTACCTCCTCCACAGTATCCCAGAACTAGCAAGGCAGTGTTTTCACCTTGTATCTCCCTAGTCATAGCACACATCTGGGAGTAAACACAAGGGCATTGTCAGGGGGACTCATGTTTTCAAAACAGTGGCTGAGAAGTTGGAAGAGGTGTCACACACATGAAATGCATCCTTTTTACTCCAGCAACCAAAGAACTGACAATTTTTGGATAAGATGACTGTTTTAAATCGTTAAACCTTCATGTTTATAAAGTGTGTTAAAATTTCTCAAGATCACATGTGATAATTACCACAAGGATGGTTAATAGGTAATAACAATAATTAATAACAACAATTGAGCTCTTATGATATGACAGGTACTAGTCTAAAATATACATATTACTTCTTTAGCCTCAGAACAATCTCCATGAGGTAGACTATTATTATCCCCACTTTAGCGATGAAGAAACTGAAGCACAAAGACTTTAGGCAGTGTGCAAAGTCACATAATAAGTGTTCCCCTGGGAACAAAGAAGGAGAGTGATTCCACAGGCCATGCTTTTAGCCATTCATCTTTATTTGATAGGAAAAAGCAAGCTTGCCCATAACCATACAGAAAGATAATGGCGGAACTCTCCTGAATAAACTCCACCCTGCAGGATTGTTTTGAGGATTAAACGGTAGCTGTCAGTATTATTATTTTCATTATGATTAGATCAGGGCACTGTGTTAATCACACGACTGAAGAAAAACATTTGGAATGTACATGACTGACAAAGGGTTGCTGTCTTTAATATATAAAGAGGTCTGTCAATTTAATAAGATAAAGATGAACATACCTACAGAAAAATAAGTAAGGGAAACAAACAGAAAATTAACAAAAGAGGAAGTAACTGGTCATTAAACATTTGGAAATTTTTTCCTTCCTACCAAAGGTAATATAAATAAAACCAATGTGATGTTGTTTTTACCTGCCTGATCAGCAGAAATAAGACTTTTAAAAATAACATACTTCTGGCATAGCTACAGGAAAGAGGACATTCTCATGCACTCCCTCCTCCTGGGAGAGCAAATCAGTACATTTGCTGTCCTTCTGGAGAATAATTTGAACTAAGCCCCATTCTAATTTTCAGACACTATGCACATTTGGTTTCTTTACTTCACTGATGACACTTCCCTTCCTCTTATACACCCTTTAGGTAAGAGACTCAACTCAGTCAATTCTGGCTGTGATGGCTTATTGAGTTCAGGACCTCACTTGAGGGCCTCAGCAGGCTCTCGGGCTTGTCTTGCAAAGGGTCAAAGAGCAGGGCCCTGGAGCTGGCAGAGCCCCCTCCTGAATAAACTCCACCCCACAGGATTGTTTTGAGGATTAAATAGTAGCTGTCATTATTAGTATTTTCATTATGATTGGATCAGGGCACTGTATCAATCACACAAGTGAAGAAAAACATTCAGAATATATATGGCTGAAAAAGCGTTGATGTCTTTAATATAAAAGAGGGTATGTGTGTGAGCTGTAGGCTATGCTGCCTGCGGCGTTCTCCTTGTTCTCCTCAGCTCAGGCTGTTCCAAGAACTCCATGTTCTCCTTTACAGGAATGTGTGCTGATCCCTGGGACCTGTCACATTAAATATCCCTCTGAGGGCTCTCCTGGGCACAAGAGACAGGGCCTGTTAGTGTAGAAATTGGCGGGGGTGTGGAGTGAGGGACAAGGTGCAAGGTTGGGCGGATGCACTTTTGAAACATGGCCACACAGAGTGACCACTCTTACTTTTCCCTTTCTGACACCTTTCCCCTTCTATCCTTTTCTATCTCTTCCTCATCCAACTTCCATGTCCTCTTCTCCTGACCAGATTGTGCCCTCATCACACATCTCCCTTTTGCACCCTGCATGGTTTCTGCTTTCTATTTTCCTTCCAGACTTTCTACCACTTGACTTTGTGTATTCTTCTCTGTGTGTCTTGCATTCAAACTCATTGTTCAGGTATAGGGTGATGGGTTGGATGGATTTCGGGAGCCAGACTCCCATAAGGCTTTTACACAAGTGCACTATTCAGTTTGCCTTGGTTTCAGCCCCTGTGGGGCACTTGTTCATCCAGGGCTTGTGGAACACATGGTCCTGAGTTGCCCAAGTGGAAAAGGACAAGAACAGCACGAATTGCTGGACTCACCCTGAGTACACATCAAGCCTTTTCAAGGGAGTGCCTCTGAGCAGTTCCCTAGTCTGCTAAATTCCCCCTGATCCTTCTTTAGAAAACTCTAGAATTGCTCAGCTGTCTTTATAAAAATCATACTCATTGTAACCATTTTTATGAACTGCTTCCTTTTGTGCCTAATTACCAGGCAATGTGATAATGGCTATGAACATTCAAATTATATTGATGTTGTTTTCATCACAGTTCCCAAATCTGTTCATACATATTTTTTTATTTTGTAGATTTGACTCATGCCAGACAGTCACCTGTCTATAAATTATAAAAGTTGAAAGACATGTTCCTGTAGGCCTAGACTGGGTGAACAGGCGTTTGAACCTAGTGGAGAGAAATGTAATGAGATTACAATGAGATGAGCTATTTTGAGGACAGAGTAACAACAGAGTAGTTAATGAGCAGAAGATATTTACAGGCAAGCAATTGAGAAACTT